AAAATGGGGTTGTGGAGAGAAAGCATCGTCACTTGATTGAGGTAGCTCTCGTTCTGTTGGCTCAGGCTTCTCTACCCTTGAAGTTCTGGTCTTATGCAGTAATCACTGTTGTCTATCTTATTAATAGACTCCCTACATGAGTGCTACAGGGTGTTTCTCCTTTTGAAAAGTTGTTTCATAAGCAGCCTGATTATGAGTTCATGAAAGTGTTTGGTTTTCGATGTTTTTCTCATTTGTGATTGTTTCACAAGCATAAGCTTATGTTTCGATCCCAGGAGTGTACTTTCTTAGGCTACAGTCCTCAGAATAAAGGATATCAATGTCTTGCATCTGATGGACGAGTCTATATATCTCGTCATGTGAAGTTTAATGAAATGGTTTTTCCTTTTGCAGCTTTATCTTCACAGTCCTCAAGTTTTACATCTGGCCAGTAGTCTCCTGAATTAGATGTGGTCATTCATTCACACAGTTTACGAGTGCCTTTGGTTTCTTCACGTGTGCGTGCTTCCTCTATGATCTCACCTGCTCATGTTAGTCATACTATTCCTACTGTTCCTTCTAGTTCTATTTTACTATCTAATGGGGACACAACTGTTATTCCATCTCAAGAATCTGTACCTCTTCATGTTGATTCTACATCTGATGAGGGGTTGTGCAGTGAATCTCAAGTTCTTAAAAAGCCAGTTAATGCTCCTCTCGTTGCTTCACAATCAACTACACTGGCCAATTTTCATCCTATGTGTACTTGCAGTAAGGCTGGCATTTTCAAACCTAAAGTGTTTCTTATTAATCTAGATGAGTTGGTTCCAGATACTACGTATGAGGCTTTCCAGTCTGATAAGTGGATTGTAACTATTCATGATGAGCTTGTTGTTCTCCAAAAGAATGACACATGGATTTTGGTTAAACTTCCAGATGGTAGGATTGTTGTTGGTTGTAAGTGGCTTTTCAAGCTTAAGAAGAACGCAGATGGCACTGTGCAAAGACATAAAGCTCGTTTGGTTTCTAGGGGTTACTCTCATGTGCCTGGTCAAGATTTCCAAGAAACTTATAGTCATGTGGTTTGATTTTCCAAAATTAATGTTGTGTTGTCCTTGATTGTCTCAAAGAAATGGCCACTTCAACATATTAATTTAAATAATGCATTTCTCAATGGTGGACTGAGTGAAGATGTGTTTATGCAGTAGCCACCTGAGTTTGAAGTATGTGCTTCTGATGGTACTCCTCTGGTGTGTAAGCTTAAAAAGGCTCTTTATGGTTTGAGACAAGCACCACACAATTGGCATACTAGACTTCGTGATAGTCTGCTTGTATTAGGGTTTTGAGAATCCAAAGATGATTACTCTCTTTTTTTTTTTGCTACTCAGGCTGGTGCTGGTACGTTTATTCTCGTCTATGTTGATGATATCATCTTGAAAGGAGATTCATTAAGTCATATTGAGTATGTTATTTGTGAACTCAACAAGCAGTTCTCTCTTAAGGATCTTGGTGACTTGTCCTATTTCTTGGGCATTGAGGTTAAATGGAGTGTATACTCTCTTGTGTTAAGTCAAAAGAAATTTTTGTTGGATTTGTTGGCAAAAACAAAAATGACTCAGGTCAATCCAACCACTTCACCTATGGTTGTGGCTAATAAGTTGTCTAAGGATGCAGGTAATCCTTTAGTTGATGCACGTGAGTTTTATAATATTGTTGGTTCACTATTGTATGTATATCATACTCGACCTGATATAACCCTCAGCGTGAGCAAGGTTGTTCAGTACATGCAAGCTTCTCGTGAGTTTTATCTTCTACAGTTAAGAGAATTCTTAGCTATTTGGTAGGAACATTGAGTTATGGCTTGACTTTCTCTTCTGCTGGTTCTGATCTTAAAGTTCCTTCATTTTCAGATTCAGACTGGGGTGGTGATATCGATGATAGACGATCAATGTCTGGTCATTGTGTCTTTATTGGCAATTTTCTAGTGTCTTGGTTGTCAAGGAAACAAAAAACTGTTTCACGGTCAACCATGGAAGATAAGTATAAAAGTCTTGCTGATGCTGCAGAAAAAGTAACATGGATCAATGCTTTGCTTGTAGATCTAGGTGAAGTTCAGGTTACACCGCCTACTATCTGATGTGACAATTATGGTTCCATTGCAACGAGCGCCAATCCAGTTTATCATGGACAATCCAGTTTATCATGGACAATCCAAGCATGTTGATCTCAATGAGCATTTTGTTTGGGAAAAAGTTGTTTCTAAACAACTACAGGTTCGATATGTGCCAGCATTTCATCAAATTGCATATGGCTTTACTAAACCCTTAGCTCGAGGTACTTTTGAGATTTTTCGCGAATGAGTGAATGTTAAACTGGTTGAAAACAAAGAAAAATAAGAGGGAATGTTGAATATAGCAACATTGAATGACTGTTATAATTGTACATGTGCCAAAAGTTGTTGCTGCTAAGCTGGTTGCATTAGGTGGTTAAGATGGTGAGAAGTTGTTAGGGTTGTTAATCTGTTAAATAGTTGCTTAAGCAAGCAAGCTATATGAGCTTTTTACAGTGCTATATATAGAGCACTAATGTTTCTTTGTAAGCAATTAGAGTTTTATCACTTGAATAAGAATTCCTTTAAGTTTTCTTTCAAGTTTCTTAAGACAGGCAACGTTTTTCTCCGTTCGTTGTCTTGATTAGTTAAAGATTAACCTTACTCTTTATGCAGGCCTTGATAGCAAAAATGTTTATTAGCGGCTTATGTTTGGAATCCTTACATGGAAAATATGGAAACAACGAAACAATTTCATCTTTAATGGGCAAATCCGTTATGCGCTTGAAACAATTAATGAGGCTAGGACCTGGGCTATTATAGTGAAGAACAACACTCTCAACAACAAGTCCAACGTGCACTGCGACAGGAATCGATCCTGGAGGTCACCTTGCATAGGCACCCTAAAGCTCAACACGGACAGAAGCGTGAATCCAAAGACTAAAAGACTCAGGTGGAGGTGTTTTACGAGACACTAATGGTAATTGGGTAATTGGTTCTTGCAGGAACATTGGCAGGTGCTCAGTGCTACTTGCGGAGATATGGGCCCTACTCAACGGTTTACTCATGGACTGGAACTATGGATTACGAAAGCTTGAAGTAAAAGTGGACGGCGTAGAAACGGTGTGGTTACTCAGATCCCAAGGGATGGGCCATGAAGCCTTTATCATTAGGAGGGTTCGGACCTGCCTTAATCTCCATTGGGGTATAATGATCGTGTACGTGCCTTGCGAAGCAAACAAGTTGGTGAATTCTTTAGCTGCCATCGATTCTTATACAGAGCTTGGCCTATCTGCTTATCGACATCCGTCGAATGGAACCCAAAGAATTCTTGTCGCTGAACAAGCTGTGTTGAGAAGAAGATTACACTAGTAATATAGTGGCCATCTTTTGTAACAAAAGAAGAAGAACAAGAACAAGAACAAGAAGAAGAAAACAATTGGTTTTTAAAAAGGGGTTGCTAGCGTTGGGAGAAAGAGGAAGGAGGACTTATGATAACGGCGACAATAGAGAAAGGTAAGACTTATGGCAACGACATAAAAGGAAAAGAGGAGACATACGGTGGTCTAAAAGATGGAAAAACGTGTGAATCACTAGGATGCGTTTGATTTTGACTTTTTAAACAACGATCAGAGTTGGGGTTGACAAAAACAATAGCTTCGAAAATAAATTCATCGACGACAAAGATTGTTGAAATCGCTCTAATCAACAGTGGCATTTTTCCTTTTGTGGTGAAGATGAATTGTTCTTTTCATTCTTATAAAAAGTTTAATAAATCTCACTTTTAATGTGATTTTTGAGTTTTAAAATTGATTTAATCTAAAAATAATATTTAATAATTTATTAAATCATAAAAACACGAGTGTAGATGAAATCATTTAGAACTCAAATACAAAAAGGGTTAATAACACTTTTAAGTCCTTCAAATTTTTAAAATATTCACAAAATAATAGTGGATGTTAATATATATCATTAGTTGTGAACATTCGTGTCTAATGCACACCGTAAACTTATTCGAAACGTGAAAGTGAAAAATGTAAGCATCATCACTTCATGTGAGTGTAAACGTGGGATTAGCCGCCAAACCGTTCAATAATTTTGTGATTGAGATTTATTTTTATAGATACTTTTTGTTTAACTATCAGTATTTGATATATTAATTAATTAATTTAGATTGAGCTTTTTATAGGTCTTTTATGAGGCGACCCTCCCAACCTGGTTTATTCAGTAGCAAACGCAAAGATTTTAACATCTAATTTTGTTTAAGGGATCTAGTATCTCATCTCACTACACCAATTGGTTGTTGGCGGTATAGATCTCTTTTTTTAATAGTTTGAAGAGATTATAAAGTAATATCTATTCAGAATCTTTATTAAGCATTAATAACGTACACACACCTTACAGATATAGCTGCTCGAACATATGGCTTCTAGAGAAAATAACATTCCCTTTAACCATTCATGAAGCTTGTTGGAGGATAACGCTCCCTTTAACGGTTTGATATAATTGAATAGATTTATTCCTTCTAATAATAGATGTCACTTGATGGATTCAATGTAAATCTCCTATATCTCTTCTCTAACATGCAGCGTTTAATGAACTTGTTTGAGATTAGGGAATCCCCGTAGATGTAATTTTGTGAGATGTTCCAATAGATAGGAATGAGTTGTTTGCCATCAGCCTAACTGAATAGCCAATATCCACTTTTGGGCCAATACAAAAGAAAAGCCTATAGAATCACCGTATTCATTTATTTATTCTTCTTATTCACAGTGGATAGCGTAAATCCAAATCCATGCAAAAGGTCCACACCCGCATCCATGTCAGGCATGTAGTAGTAGGGGCAATTCTAACGTTTCGCATTTCTCAACTTTCAGTTGTTTAGATTTGGATCTTCCTTTACGCCGATTTATTGAAACGAAAATATAAATTAAACTGTAGCTCGATCCGCCATTGCCACTGCGAACAAATCTCCCTCTTGTTCTCTCTCTTCCAGGTTCGATCCAACGCGTAATGCTAATTCATGGATCGAAAGTTGTTTTTCCAATGATGTAGCACGCCAGTTGATCGTTTAATCGACCGATTGATTTTCAGAGGGGGAGGTGATTGAATGATCTCGAAAAAAATGCAGCATATTCCGTCGACTGTCGAGGAACAGTTGTTTTTGAGAGCGTTTAAGGAAGAATGCCCGTGGCAGAATTTGCCCAAACGGCTTCAAGCCATTTTTAATTCTAAAGATGAATGGCACAGAAGGTTAGTTACGTCCTTTCTGTTTACTCTTTCTTTTACTTTCTATGTTGTACTCATAAGGATCGTTTAGTTTGGATTCGAGCAACTTCAATTTTTTTTTATCTAGAGAGAAATTTTGGATCAATTCGCTGAACTATGAAATACATTTGTCATGCTCAGTATATATGATTGATGGATTAGTTAACCTTATTGTAAGGGATTTCTGTGAAAGAGTTCCTGGAAATAATTAGAAATTAGAACAGGCACGTTGGTGCTCCTATTAAAAATTGAGGTTGGTCTTCCCCAAATAAGAAGTTGTGCATGGTTTGGTGATAGTACAGAATTTGTTTTAAAGTAGTCATTAGGCTTTGCATATGTTTCTTTCTGGCATTTCTTTCGATTTGGGATGCTAACATTTCTCAATCGTAATAGTTATCGATATATTGTTGTTTTACCAGTTTTCAGTTGCAGTTGCGACATACATTTCATTTTCTCTGTTAGTGATGAACATTGTAGTTTTAGATTGTTTCTAAAAACACGCTTAGTTTTGGTCCCAGGTTGAAACTGAAATGCCTCTTAATTTATCCTGATTACTCATTAGAATTAATGCTCATCTTTTTATGTGTTCATGGATCAGTTTTCTATTCATGATCTCACCCCTTCATTTTTTTTCCATTTAGCATTATTGACCATTGTATCAAGAAAAGGCTCCAATGGAACACTTCTTTCGCTTGCAAAGTTTGTAAAGAAAATGAATATTATGACGAGATGATGCGTTTCTTGCGAAAGAGTCTAGCGGTGCGTGTTAAAGCAAGTTCTTTTAACTTTTTCTTTTAATTTATTTCATGTGGTAATGATCTGTTCTATGATATGTTGTTAGAAAAACTTTTGTTCTCATATGATTAATATTCTTGTTGCATAATAAAGGTATATTTTTTCAACTTGAAGTTTGGAACTGAACATAAAGAATTGCTTTCATAGTTTGATTGCCCGAATACATAATGAAATCTGTTGCCGTTAGCAGCAATTTGTGCAAGATGTTAAATGACTGCCCTTTATTTTCCCCCTGATAAATTTCTAGTGGTTCTTTGCAGTTAACTTTCGTAATTTCTTGATTGCAGTTATTCCCTTACTACCTTGCTGAGTATGTTTGCCGTGTGATGAGGGTGTCTCCTTTCCGATATTACTGTGATATGATATTCGATCTTATGAGAAATGGTAATTGCTACCATCTATTGGTTTTCTCCTGCAAGTTCCTTATATGTAATTGGTCTTACTCACCAGGATAAATAAGGTCCATTTCCTAGGCAGAAGTGACCTTTCACCAATCATTGCTTCTTTATGAATCTGTATTGCCTTCGTATATAGGTACTGACCATTCATAGGCATTTGTTGTTGACAGAGCAACCTTATGACAGTATCCCGAATTTCAGTGCTGCTGATGCCTTGAGACTTACTGGAATTGGGAGAAATGAATTTATTGATATCATGAACCAATGCAAGTCTAAGGTAATGGATCATATTTTGTTCTTTTTCATGCACGTAATTATGTATTAGGACGCATGATTTTGCTTGCTTCTGCTCATCCTTTATCCTTGAACATACGCCTTCACAAGTGATCCAAGGCAAAAGCGCGCGCACACACACACTAGTTAGCACTCCTTATCTTGCTTGGATTACACAAGATGTTATCGAAGTTCTAACAGTTTGTATAGTCTGATAGCATTTTGTGTGATACTCAATTACACTAAATACTAGTAAAATTTGCACAAAATGTTGGCAAAGTTATAATAATTTGTGTAATTTAATAACATTGTGTATAATTTTGTACAACATTAGTATAGGATAGGATTGTTTTACAAACAGGGTATGCTCTAATCGTTCCCCTCGAGTCTTTGGGTATATTTTATGGTCTTGACTAGAGGATCGAGTCACTGGGCGATGCTTCAATCCAATTCTTCTTCCACGATTATGACCTTTTATTATTAAACGGAACCCGTCAAAGTGAATTCTAGGCGTTAGATGTAACCCCCAAATCGATGCGGGTAACCCGATCCGATCTGGGTTGTCACATTAGGGTCACTGGACGACCCATTGTAAAAATAGCGAAAAATTTGAAACTTTTTTATCAGAACATATAAACTTATAAAATCATTTGTTTATATTTAAAAATAAAACAGATTTCCAGACTCGTATATAAATCAAAATACAATTACATGCCCCCTAATCACATGTACCATACTCTGCAACAACGCCGGAAGAACTCCCTTACTGAAGTCGATAGATGCACTGGTACGATTCTTTTAACCTGCAATGTTGAGTAATAGAGTGAGCTTCGGAAAGCTCAGTAATACAGAACTACCAGATGATGCTGAAGAACATGCAGATATAGATAAAATATATATTTCCTTATTGTTTCTGAACATTTACAGATTTTCATGCTGAGCAGAGATCCTATTGATATTTCAGGTAGTAACGGACAATGAGCTTTCAGTTCAGAGAAATATTTCGGATGACCGAATTCAGGAGATCTGAATAGGCTATCTAGTGTGTTCCCGCAAAACCAGTGAAAAGATAAATATCTTTTCTTTTAAAACAGTGGCAGTTCAAAACATATTTTTATTCAAAAACCATATTAATCCATCCAACCAAACACACCATAATGTGTAGGTTCCCCAGAATCATACACAACCAACACATCAAGTAAGGCCCTGAGCACAAAGCAGAGGAGCATGCAGTAACGGTAACGATAACTTCCTCGAACAACACCCTCCCATAAAACATTTATCAAAAACCATAGTGATCCCTCCAACCAAACACACCATAATGTGTAAATTCCCCAGAACCATACACCCACCAACACACCAAGTAAGGCCCCGAGCATAAAGTCGAGGAGTCTGCATATATTGTAACCTCTAACAATACCGCCAAATAACAATTTATCGTCAATAAATGGAGATATCCGAAAACAAAACATAATTCAGATCATATATCAGAACAGAATCCAGGTCAGGATCCAAAATAGATTTCAGATCAAATGTCATAACATAAATGAAATTGGAAATCAGATAAAATATTCATGTAGGTAGGGAATACACCAGAGTTTACAGATATTATTCATAAGTACAGAATAATCTTATCAGACAGAGAAACACGGATCTTTAGTATACCGATAGAATGTTGAGATTTATAATCACTATTGGAAGAGTTCAATAACTGACGAAATCATAAGTTATTCAGATTGAGACTTATCAAGATCATATCTTATTCATACATTTTTCGGAAGCTCTACATAATCAAAAGGGTATTCAGAATCCTTTACATCTGAGCTACTTATATTTTCATATATAACCTAACTAATTTGAGCTGATAAGGGAGAACAATGATTAAGAAATTTTACAATCTTTGTCGATTGATCGGATTAACGAGTTACTTGATATGAATAATTCCCATAACTAATGCTTATCGACTGGTCAATTCTTTGTCCTTCTAGGGTATTTATAGGGTATTCATTTTTTTATACCTAACATTCTTATCCATAGATGTTCCAATGCTCTTTATTTCATTTTCACGCTTCCACAATATCATGAAATGCTGACGTGCTTGATTTATAGTTCATGACCCATAAAAAAAATTTCATTATGTATGTTCGTTAACGATTCCAGACTCATCCAAATCACTTATTTAAACATCAGTCATTGAGGTTACTTATTTCATTTAAAAGTCAAGTCTATCACGGTTACTTAAGAGTTTTCCAGAGTAAATCGGACATTTTTTGAATTTCGCATACATATTGTACTTTCGTTCAGTTCAGTATTGTTGATTTGTCGAACAAATATCCAATTCTTAGTACTGAATGTGATCTAGAGTTGAGTTGAGCTGAATACTTCCAAAATTATCATCGAGCCAAACTTGAAAAGACGAACACGCATTCCAGTAATATCTATGTCATTTAGGTATTGACATAGCTTTAAGGTTGATCTACTCACTTAAGTTGTGTTCCATAACTTTTAAAGGTAGTCCAACACCAATGCTTATTTGGATTCCTTAATTAATCCAAGACATTTACTTAATATAGGTTATAAGGGTATTTTGGTAATTTTGGTGTTCAATTTTATTCCATTCATTTCAGAGCTCAAGGATATCCAATCATTCTTGAGCTTGGTGGTATTTTTGGGTTATTTCTATTACATGGGTATTTTGGTCATTGTACAGATTCAGTGTATTTTAATCCTTTCCTTCCGTCCGATCTTACTATTAAATTCAATCTCATCATTTGTTTCAGTCCTTTCAAATAATTCTGACAGCAGAATACCCCCGATAAATTATTCTTTAGGTATTTACTCATTTCTCGGAGATTTTCGGGTCAAGTGCCTTCTCATATCTTACAAACGGAATATCATGAATTTTTCTGTACAAAGATAGGATCTTAACAATTAAATTCGTACTTAATCGAGTTAAGTATAAATACTCAAAGTACTTTTTCATTTAGGGTTAAACTATTTTACCTCTCAAGGGTATTTTCATAATTTCTTAACCAGATAATTTCGATATTAGCTCTTAACGAAAATAATATAATTTAGAGATCTTATGATTAATTGTTTTCTTGAACACTCTCTGATCTTGAAACGATTCTCTTAACAGACTTCTAGTATCATTCATAAACCCTCCTAGGATTAAAAACTAGTTATCCATAATTTCCAAGTGAAACTAGCATTTCTTATACACATCAATATTTTTATCACTAATCACAAACTTGTAATTTAATTCTAACAATTCCTCAATCTCCTATATTAGTCATTCGATCCGTAATCAGTTACAGAATTTCTACCACATTCATATCGAGTGTATAAATTATTCAACTCCACCAAAGTGACCAACATTATCTTGTTCATACATTTATCAATATCAACATGTTCCATAAAGCTTAAAGAGGTAGTAGAGTATTACCTCGATTTCTGTGTCATACTGATCGACCATTAAATTCCATTCGAACGCCCTCGATCTTGAAATCATCTTCCAATATTTCCTCGGATCCATACCAACAGAAATTATATCAAAAACGAAGCTTAATTCTGAAAAACGAATCGAATTGGATGATAAATCAGTGAAAACAGCTTACCGGGTTCGAATTTGGCGAAACGGACTTCGGATTCGGATTCAGGACGTCGAAAGCATAAAATATGACTTTTCAAAAATTTGGAATTTTTGGTCAAAATCAAAGTCAACGTGTTTGACCAGAAATTTTGAGGCCTTCAGGTTCGAATTTCAAAAAACGGACTGCGGAATCGAATTTGGAACGTTGAAAAATGTCAAGAACGGTATTCTCGATCAAAGTCAAAGGTCGTTTAATGCCCGATCAAATTCGATCAAAGTTTTGGTCAATAGCGGTCAACGTCGGTCAACGGTCAACGGGTCGGGTCGGGTCAACGGGTCGGGTTGTAACCGGTCAAACTAGTCAAAATAGTTCCAAAACCGGTCAAACCAATCACTTTTTCCTTCCCCACGCGCAGTGGCGGCGCGTGGAGTCGCGTGAACAGTGCCCTGATATCGGAAAATTCCCGGACAAATTCCTAAAAATTATTTTAAGCGATTTCGAGATACTTACAAAGCTCGGTTCAAATTTTTGTACGGCGGAGAGCTCGATTTCAACGAATCGGAAACTTTGACCGCTTCACCTCCTCACGCGCCGCCTTCGACGGAGACCAAGGATGACACCGGTAGACTCGAAACGATGCAAGGAACACAATGGTGCGGGAGGTGTCGTAAACGGATCATCGAATCGTCGTGAATCGACGAAAAACCAATTGAAATCGAGTTATTACCGACGATACTTCCGACTGAAATTAACGACGAACGGCGATGATTCATGATGAAAGGTTTAAGATGTTTTGTTCCTCGCTCGACAACGAACACGATGGTAGTTTCAGCTCGTCGATCGGAGGTCGAACGGCGAGTAGATCGGAGTTGAAAGGAGGGTTGTTGGGGAAGGGAAAACTGGAAAAATGAGAACCTGTGCACGGGGAGGGGGTTTATAATTCAACTCATAATAAAAATGAGTAAACCATGAGTTTAGCCACTAAATTTTCTACACTTTATAAAATGGTCTACCAACTTTAAAACTTTACAATTTAATCCACCATTTCTTTCAAAATACCAATTAAATTCACCATTTTATAATTTCTTAAAATTTAGCCCCTAAATTAGGGTGTTACATTAGATTTGTTTAGAAAGTCATAATCCGCTTAAGAAATTTAAATAAAATTCAACTTGAATTTTATTATTGCACATTGTCCCTTTGAATAGAGATTACATACCATGTTTAACTAAAAGACACACTAAACAAACAACTCAACTAGGGAAAAGACTCCTAAGAATGCAAAATACTAATAAAGTCTCATAAAGATAATAAACTCTAATAAAAGTCTCAATATTTATAATATGACTTTTAGAGAAATGACGCCATCAAGCAGCATATTCTATCGCAGTTCTTGCACATCCCTTTTGAG